TTGGATGATACCGAGTTTATGTCTTATCGCGGGAGTCGAGGGTAGATATAATTCCGTGGTCAGATTGACCAAATAACTTCTTTCAATTAATTAATCATTATGTAAGGTATTGGTTGAAATGAAAAAGTTAGTGTCACGTGGGGGATTCGAACCCACGACTTCAACAGCAAAATAGCTCAAGTTGTTAAAGCAGCGGCGTATTGTGCCGAAGGTCATGGGTTCGAATCCTGCTCGTGGCACTAACTTTTTCATTTCACCCAATACCTAACATAAAAATTAATTAACTGAAAATAAATATTAATTCCACTATTTTTCGTGGTCCGCTTGACCATTAATAACATTCAATTAATCAAGGTTTTAAGTTGAGATGAAAAAGCGAGCGGGATTCGAACCCACGACCTTCGGCTCGATACGCCGCTACTGTACCACTTGAGCTATCGTGACTTCGATCCTCTCGGACACTACCTTCCCATCTCAACCCCACCTTTCTGAATTTTCCCTCCTTTTTGCCATTTTTCAAATGTCGTGTAATCGGATTGGATTCTCGGCGACAAATGAAATGGCCACGGACAGCTTTAGTGAAATGTACTTCATTTCAATTCATTATTCACTATTTTTCGTGGTCCGCTTGACCAATTAATAACATTCAATTAATTAAGGTTAAAAAAGTCAGTGTCACGAGCGGGATTCGAAAGTAGATATTAATGTTATCGACTATGGAGGTAAAAAGATGAAGTGAAATGCTGAATATGCAGCTAGCGTTCCAATTCGCAACTCTGAATATCTCGAAACAGTAGAAAGATGGATAAAATGTTTGTGTGCATCAGACACAGCTATTTTATAAATTAGACAGGTCCTATGGAATTTTTAAACACAGTAGATTTATAATATTACAATATTTTGACAACAAATCAAAGGAGAATTCGTAAAATCTTTAGTTGCATACACCTGCTCAAATTTCCAATCGAAGTTGCCATATTTTCTGTATAAAAATCCTTGTCATCCTGTAAGGAGATAGTCGTTCCGTCGTAGCTTTTTGAAAGTTAATTGTCTTCCCACTTAGGAGTTATGCTCTTCAATTTCTCTCCCGATACAACACGACCCCCCTTCAATTTCACTTTCCCTCACGAAATGCAATGAGAGTTTAATAATAATAGTGCAGTGAGGAATCTCCTTTTTAAAAAAACAAACACATTCGGTAACGTTTGCTCATTACTGCCGACAGGTCGTTATAGTCATTAATAGCCAAAGGGGTTCGACCTCGCCGAACTAGACCCTGCTAATCAGCAAGTTTCCAATGCATTAATAATTCCGATCGGTCCAAAGGAAACACTGGATAAATTGGGCCAGGAATTTCGTCCGCCCGTCGCTGCAGTCGCGAATTAATAATTCCAGGCATAACCCTTGGCGCAGAACTTCCCCGCCCAGGTCCATTCTTAGACCAACCAAGTAATTTAAGACTTGAAATTAAGCCTTTGGATTTTTAAGAATGGCCAAGCTATTATTTTATTCTAATTCAATGTATTACACTTCAAAAACATTTTTAAAAATGTTTGCGAGTCTTATTATTTATTACTTTGTTACATTGTTTGTTGTTTATACAGATGTAAATATAAATTTTGAACCAAGTATTTCACACTCGCATAAAGTGTGATGTCATAAATATAAGAGTAACGCTACTTCGAGGTGAGAAAGACATGCAAACCCGGTTGGAAAAAGGAAGTTGAAAAAAATGTGTACCACATTTCATAATCCTCGTGCAATCACACCGTTTAACGTGGTTTTGCTCTAGTTCATCCTCGATGTAACTCTTAATTGCCTAATAAAGTATTTTTATCGTTTCTTCGTTCATTAAGGGCACGAATAAATGCTAAGAAAAATTCGACGAAGAATTGTTCAAAATGGAGAATATCAGCCATTGTCGGTGTTATTAAGTTATATTATTTATTACATCTATTATATTTAGTGGTCTGCTTGACGAAATTACTTCTTTCAATTAATTAACCTTTTTACGTAAAGTTTTGGTTGAAATGAAAAAATTAGTGTCACGAGCGAGATTCGAACCCACCGCCGAAGGTCGTGGGTACGAATCCCGTTCGTGACACTTTTTCACTTCAACCAAAACCTTACATAAAAATCACAATTAATTAAGGTTTTTAGTTGAGATAAAAAAGTCAATGCACGAGCGGGATTCGAACCCACGATCTTCGGCTAGATACGCCGCTGCTCTACCACTTGAGCTATCGTGACTTGGTAGAGCAGCGGCGTATCTAGCCGAAGATCATGGGTTCGAATCCCGCTCGTGCCATTGACTCTTTTATCTCAACTAAAAACCTTAATTAATTGTGCTATATTAATTGGTCAAGCGGACCATGATATTAGTGAACTTACATAAAAAGATTAATTAATTGAAAAACTTATTTATTACATTGTATATATAAATAGAAATAAGTTATAAATGAACTATGAGTTATTTCCCTAGATAATAGGAATTAAACATTCGTTTAAAAAATATTAAAATTTATACCCAGAGAAGAGTGTGTTACAGATCGAGACGGGAAAATAGCTGCAAGTTGAAAAATACCAGAAAAAGGAATAAAACACGCAGAGGGCTGGCGATGACCTCAGCTGTTTGTTGGCCCCTAAACTTCCCACATTATTATTATTGTATTGTTAACATTTTTTCCCACAAAAGGCCTTAGAGGCTAATGTTTAAAAAACACGCACTACCGTACACTCTAAATTATCTATATTATTATTTTCCTCTTCCTCTCTCCCTCTCTCTCTCTCTCTCTCTCTCTCTCTCTCTCTCTCTCTCTCTCTCACTCTCTCTCTCTTTCTTTTTTTTCAAAAATGGATACATCATAAATCACGATTTATGTAAATTAGAAGATTGTAGTTATAAAACTTCTTTAAAAGTTAATCAAAAAAATATAAATCAATAATAATTGGGCAAAGTAAATTAATGGAAAAACGAATGTACAAAACATCCGAAAGTTAAAAATAGAGTTCAATAAATTGGATTATGCAGAAATTGTAAAATGCTTGGGTTTTTATTTAAATAAAAATTTATGCTGGAACAAATGAATTTTCGTACTTTATAATTTATAGGTTAAAAAATTAGATGGTTTTGTGAATGTAACTATTAAAAAAACAAGCTCTAGCTTTCCCATACATTAAATACGGACTATAGCTGCAAAGTGCGACTTGCATTGGATGCAAATCAATAAATTACAAGTTGGTGTAAATATGTGTGTACGATATATACTTAATTTAAATTGTGATGATAGAATGTATGATAAATATCAAATCAACTCCAGTTCCTAAAAATAAATGGTTTAATTGATTATAATTTAGATTGTATCTTCAACGCGTTAAAACTGAAAAACGTACAAGCATACATAAAAAAGTAAAACATAGATCAGATGTACATCATATAAACACTAGAAAGCAATTACAAATTATAAAACATACAACCACAATATTTAATAAAGCATTTGCATGAGTGTTTTCAAAATTACCTGTTGAAATTTAGCATTAATAAAATAAGTATATTTAGAAAAAATATATATTTTTTATCAAAATATGTATAAAAATATGAAACTATAATATTAATTTTTTCCTTAATTAAGTACAAAGATTGTTATGTTAAGATATTGATAATCTAACTTTACAATATTTCCTTATGTTTATAAGGTTAAACCCTTACAAATGTCTATTGTTATTTTGTACCCGGTAAAAAAATTACAATATCTCGCACTCTCTCACTCTCTCTCATTCTCTTTCTTTCTCTTTCGCCCACTCTCTCTCAATCTCTCTGTCTCCTATTCTCATTCTTTCTCGCTTACACACTCTCTCGCAATCTGTCTGCTCCTATTCTCTTTCTTTCTCTCTCGCACACTCTCTCTCACTCTCACCCTCCCTCTCATTCTTTTTCTTTCTCTCTCTCTCGCACACTCTCTCTCACTCTCACCCTCCCTCTCATTCTTTTTCTTTCTCTCTCGCCCACTCTCACTCTCTTTCATTCTCTTTCTTTCTCTCTCGCACCCTCTCTCACACTCTCCCTCAATCTCTCTGTGTCCTATTCTCTTTCTTTCTCTCTCGCACTCTCTCTCTCACTCTCACCCTCCCTCTCATTCTTTTTCTTTCTCTCTCGCCCACTCTCTCTCACTCCCACTCTCCCTCTCATTCTCTTTCTTTCTCTCTCTGTGTCCTATTCTCTTTCTTTCTCTCTCGCACTCTCTCTCTCACTCTCACCCTCCCTCTCATTCTTTTTCTTTCTCTCTCGCCCACTCTCTCTCACTCCCACTCTCCCTCTCATTCTCTTTCTTTCTCTCTCCCATTCACTCTCTCCCATTCTCTCTCTCTCTCTCTCTCTCTCTCTCTCTCTCTCACACACACACACACACACACACACACATCATACAACCTCACATCCAACCCTCTTTGTGACTTATTTTTACTTGCTTTTTCTCGATTTTTCACGACTTGTCTGTTGTAAAATTATAACAACTTGTGGAGTTTTCACGAAAATTTTAAAAAGCCGTAATCAGTGGAAATCTATGTCATTTTATTTTAAAATATTAGCTTAACGAAGATGTTTTGAGTTTATTTTTTCATCTTGTATATACGTGCATAATGTATTAGCGAATTTGTAATATTTACGTACTTTGATGTTCAATGACTTTAATTTTGGCATATTCTCAACTGGCGTATTCGAAGGTACGACATGTCTACCTATATCATTCTCACACTTTCTTTCCCTCTCTCCTTCACTCTCAATATCTCTCTCTTTCACACACACACACACCCGCACTCGCAAATACATTTATTCTGTTTAGGTTTTTATCACATATGATCACACGGTCATAAAATCATCGAAAGAGACATTTAAAATTAGCTATTTTAGCTATTTGCGTTTTCTTGCAATTAAATTTTGCAAATAACTTTCGCCATCTAGCTACCACGTGATGAAATAATCCAACATATGGAAGAACAATGGTTGGTTCCACCTGGCACTAAATTTGTGCATAGTTGCATTATTTTTTCATACATTTTTTCGCGTCAAAGTCCAAACGTTTACCATTTAAAATTAATAATATCAAACACGCATAAATCCAGTTTTATTTTTATTTAATTGAAAAACAATTCCTTCAAAGTCGAAAATTATAAACCAGGTGACAATCACATTGGTATAAACAAACATAAACGTGTCTGTTATATAAAATTTCTTTATCCGACAAAACAGTTGTCATTTTTCGGCGTCCCCTTTCAAAATCCCTAGGGTGTGATGATAAGAAATGGAGGAGGAAGCTAGCAGAGAGCAGCAGCGGGACGGCTACGGTTGCGAGGAAATAGAAAGGGAACTCGTCAGGTGCCTGTCCGGAGATGCAAGAGCTGTCGCCCGCGTCTGTACGGATATCGTCTCTTGGACAGGTCCTGTACATCAAGACGCCTGGGAGAACCCCAATAAAAATGTCAATCTTATCAACTACCTCGAACAGTCGTCTGAAGCCAGTCTTCAATACATCCCCGCCCTGGAACAGACGTTGGATATGTAAGTTGTCAGTAGGTGTAAGTGTCAGGACGGCTTCCGTTCTCCTTTGGCAAACAAACTGAAATATTTACAAATCATTTATACTTTTCTATAATATTTAACTATTAAGCTTGTCAGACATACCTACTGCAAATGGCACTTGGTGTGTTTTGCATTTCTTGCACCTGTAGTATTCGCTCTTAGCGTTTTACTTACTCGGTTGTTCATATTTAACAATTTAGAATTTTGAACATTTTTTCTGAAACCATACTGATGTTCAAATATGTTTGTTAAAATAAAAACACATGTTGAGTTTAAAAATGTCATCTACTTAATATATTTTTATTTACATAATTTTCTTTTGTTCCAATCGTTCAGTACATCCGTGTTCTGAGGTTTTAGGCCCTCTTTAACTATTTTTCATTCATTTTACCGAAGATAAATTAAGAATATAAGCTTGAGATTAGAACAAAACTCACTGGAACTTCTTTGGATGTAGAAAGCATTTGCAAAAGGCCGATTTTCAATAATTGCGTTTAAAAGGCCTTAATCCGCCCCCGCGGATATAACTCGACGTCCTTCACACTGGAGTGGTCAACCTTTTCCCAAGCGAACATCCACAGATGATTCCAAAACAATTTATCACTTAGAAATTCTTTAAGAAGCTTATCAACGCCGATTTTATTTATATTAAAAGACGATCAGGGCTAAGGTCGATTAGAAAGCAAACTCAATTCTCAGATCCTTAACAAAGCTTTTCAACGAATGTATCCCATTCATCAGTTCAATAAAATTAAAACTACCTACCCACTTAAAGGATGAATATCTATAATTTTTAAATCTGGCGCAATGAAAATAAAAATTGTAATTACAATCAGATCAAACAAAACCAGTACATTTTTTAACAAAAATATAATTTCTAAATTAGAATTTTTTTTCTATGTGTGAAGGAGAAAGAGACAAATTGATAAATAATATATTTATATAATAAAATATTAGAATTATTTGGAGAGAGAATAGGGAGAGAGAGTCTGAATCAATATCGTTTTATTTAAAAAATCCTTACCAAATTTTTTTTTTTTAAAGGAAAGAGAGAGTAGAAAGAGAGGTATTTGCAAATAACTAAATTTTAATATATTATCTGGGGAAAGAGGGGGGAGAGAGAGAGAGAGAGAGAGTGAGAGAGAGGGAGAGAGAGAGTGAAAGAGAAAATGAATGAATATCATTTTATTTAAACAATTAAAAAAATGAAGGAGAGAGAGAGACTCATTAGAAAAAGCTTAAATATTTTTAAATTATTTGGAGAGAGAGAGAGAGGGAAAGAGGATGAGTGAGAAGAGAGATAGAGAGAGAGACAGAGAAAATGAATGAATGAATATCATTTATTTAAACAATTAAAAAATTGAAAGGAGAGAGAGAGAGAGAGACTCATTACAAAAAGTTTAAATATTTTTAAATTATTTGGAGAGAGAGAGAGGTGGGGAAAGAGGATGAGAGAGAGAGAGAGAGAGAATAGAAAGTGAAGTATTTGATAATAGCTTAAATATTTTTTTTAACATTTGGAGATTGAGAGTAAGAGGGAGAGGGAGGGAGAGAGAGATTGAGTAGAAAGTGAAGTATTTGATGATCGCTTAAATATTTTTTTTAACATTTGGAGATTTGGAGAAAGAGGCAGAGGGGGCGGGGGGGAGAGAGAGAGAGGGTGAAAGAGAGAGAGAGAGAGAGAGAGAGAGAGTGACAGAGAGAGAAATAGAACGATGTATTTTATGATACCTTAAATATTTTTTTAAAATATTTGGAGATTTGGAGAAAGAGGTGGTGGGAGGGAGGGATATGGAGAGGGAAAGAGAGAGAGAGAGAGAGAGAGAGAGAGAGTGAGTGAGTGAGAGAGAATCTTTATTATGTCCTGCGAACAGGTTCCCTTAAGGATAACATAAACTAATAACAAATATCTAAAAAAGCTCTCTGAGCGGCAGAACAATAATTTGGTAATATAATACATAATAGAACGGTAGAAAAAAATAATATAATATACAGTATAAAACGTATACATAGTACAAATAATGATGAAAAAGTTAATCGTTTTCGAAATAAAGGGGGTGGGCCATCTTACAAAAAGCAAACCGCGTCTTTCGTCGGGCATAACTCAGTTGATCCTATCAAAATTTTTCTTTCAGTAAAAGTGGCATAAAATAATCGAATCGAACAATAAGAATATGGGCTTCTCATTTAAAATAACAAAGTTATTGTCACTTCCCAGCTAGATGAGAAAGTCATTTTAAATTTTTTACCACTACGAGATTCCTAGCCAAAATTAACTTGAGGTTTGTATAAGACAATTTTTTGCTAAAGTTAATCCTTTCCGAAAAGGAGGACTATAGAAGTTTATACACACTGTATATTTAATAAATTGGGACAGGAATTTTGTACATTATTTATAATGCATACGACAGAAACAAATGGACTTCTTTAAAATCACAGTTACAATATTACGTCTAAACATAAAATATTATACATAATAATTTTTTTTTAACTGAATTTATTGTTATGATAACAACACTCGAGTTAAGCCACATAAGTCCCAACGATAGCTGGACTGTCTGTAATTCTTGAAAAACTTGGTTCCACATTTTTACAAAAAGTCCAAAGTTGTTGTGATAGCGTTTTTGTTTTTAATATCATTACTATAACTCTTGAGTATTTTTTTAAACATCTAAATATAATTACAATTTTCATTACATTAAATTTTTAGTAGCCCTGAGTTTTTTAATCTTGAATTCTCGTCTTTGATCGATTTTATTAGTGTGTTGCCTTTTTCGTTTACATCATTGATCATTAATCATCAAACTAATAAATGCTAAATGTTCAGTGGGATGAACATGTTATTTAAAATAGACCAATTCACTTTTCTCAATGATAATATTGCAATAAAATTGGATTTGATGCTGCGTGTTGGTCTGCGAGTCGGTAAATTCATGCTGAATCGGCATTGGGTCAGTTATTCGGGTCCTTCTCTCGCCAATCCAACAAAAACTGGAAGAAGTTTTTGAACTTCTCAAAGGTGTTTCACCATTGCGCCATTCACAATGAGGAACTGAACGGTTTCTGCCGATTAGCATGAATGCAATAAAATTGTATACATCTTTATGTAAGGTATTGGTTGAGATAAAAAAGTCAGTGTCACGTGGGGGATTCGAACCCATGACCTTCGGCTAAATACGCCGCTGCTCTACCACTTGAGATATCGTGACTTCGATCCACTTGGACACCAACTTCCCATCTCAACCTACCTTTCGATTTTTCCCTCCTTTTCGCCATTTTTCAAATGTCGTGTAATCTATTTGTTTTTCGGCGACAAATGAAATGTCCACGGAGAGCTTTAGTGAAGTATACTACATGAAAAATGGCAAAAAGGAGGGAAGATTCAAAAGGTGGGGTTGAGATGGGAGGTTGGTGTCCGAGTGGATGGAGGTCACGATAGCTCAAGTGGTAGAGTAGTGGAAATCGTGGGTTCGAATCCCGCTCGTGACACTGACTTTTTATCTCAATTACAAACCTTAATTAATTGAAAGATATTAATTGGTCAACCGGACCACGAAAACTAGTGAATTTATTCTCTAAAGTGCCCCGTACCTCATAAAATGTTAATCTTACGGTGCATTAATTTTCACCAACGGAAAGAGCATTCCTTATGAGAATCATTTGTGTTTTTTTTTCTTAATTTTAACCAAACAAAATCCAAAATCACTAAGAAGACAAAACTTTTACGAGTTTCCAAAGTTCTTGACTAAAGTTTAAGTAAGATTTTCTGGTTTCTGTAAATACTGATGGATATGGAGTAAACAGATAAGTTACGCCTTTTAAATCGCTGAAAGACATGTATTGTACTTAATTCCTCACAGATCAGTTATCACCAATGTAAAACGAAAAAAAAACTGTTCAAAATCTGTCAGGTCCAGCTTACGTTCTTCAAGAAGGCGACCATTTAATTAAATTTTTGAATTTTTTGTTTTCAGTTTTGTACCAAAGAGGCTTTTTTTCACCTTGTATATTTTAGTAATATAACTTGCAAATCTTAATTAAACCATTTGTAACCAAATAATCAAACTTTTACCGATTAAACGTTAATTTGACATTGGTGCTAATGGGCCTTTGGGAAATTTGTGTTTAGAGCTCATTAGTAGACTTTTCTATAAGCACCAAAGCTGACAGTATTTGCAGTTCAAGAAAATCTTGCTTAAACTTTAGGCAAAAACTTTAAAAATTCGTAAAAGTTTATATTCGAAGTAATTTTGTATTTTCTTTGCTAAAAGTCACAATAAAAAAACAACAAATCAATCTCATAGGGGGTTTAATGCGCTTTTCATCGATATTTTGTTAGATACGTTGGACTTAACGGGATATATTTGGGAAAGGTCGAACTAAGCTGAAAAGTGAAAATATATCGAATATAAATATTAAGAATCAGACTTTGGACAGAAGCGACTTTTCAGTACAATTTGCATGTAGGATCTGCTGATGTATTGACCTCTGTTCACGGAACACCCTGTACATATACATTGTTAACTAAAACTTTATTTTGACTTATTAAATCCATTAGAGTTCGTGGTCCGATTGATCAAATAACTTTTTTCAATTAAATAATCTTTATGTAAGGAATTGGTTGAGATAAAACTATGTATGAAAAATGGCAAAAAGGAGGGAAAATTCGAAAGGTGGGTTGAGATGGAGAGTTAGTGCCCGAGTGGATCGAAGTCACGATAGCTCAACTGGTAGAGCAGCGGCGCAGCCAAGGTCGTGGGTTCGAATCCCGCTCGTGTCACTGACTTTTTTATCTCAACCAATACCTTACACAAAGATTAATTAATTGAAAAAAGTTATTGGTCAATTGGATCACGAACTCTAATGGATTTAATTGCATACAACGTTTTTAAAACAGAGTCCTTAGATTTCACGTTATAACACGTTATAAATATTTATTTGAGGTTGGTCGCATCTATTGAACACAGTGATTAGGCGAAAGCATTAATTTCTAACAGTGTAGGTCTGGAAGTGGGATTGCACGGAATCTCCTGTAAGATGTGACATTTGGGGTTTCACCGATTGTTACACATCGATGCCCTCGTCACTCCGGATTGAAACCTGTCAATCGCAGATATTGTCATGTGTTATTGTTTTAAAGTTGCTGAAATGTCACTTATACCATGGCAGATTTTTTTTGCTTTATCATCATGTGTGTATGATGTTCATAAACTAACTTCATTTTAAGGTAAAAGCGAATAGATAAGGCTAAAACGTATGATTCAACCGAAAAAGGGACAAACAGAACGAATCGTAGAGAGCATGTCGATTCCATTTTACTGTGAATGTATCACCAATCTAACACTCTTTTCTCTTATCACAACCATTAAAGCATTTTTCGCTTTATTATTGTAAATTTAGATTTTTAAAAGTGCCCAGTGATGCAGAAAAGTCAAATAAACGACTGATATTATTGGCAATAATACAAATTAATAAGAAAATTTTGTGTTATATTGTAAGGCATATATAAAAATTAAACATTCAATTATTTATAATCAATAAGCAAAAACTGTGATATTCGTATACATCCTACGGGTCCGCATTGTTTCGCTTTCTCAGTCAATTTTTCTAACAAACTGACGATAATATCTGCAATATACAATCCGAAATCAATAAGACAACTAACAGGGAAATTTTGTGATACCAGGCAACCAGAAAAGTTCGCTCGGGTTTAAAGGATTTAATAATAACAATTAAAATTAGTTTACATATATTTTACCCGGGGACTTCGTCTCCATCGGCATCGCCTTCTCCCAACATCTTATAAAAGTTTGGGTTCCGGGGCTTCAAAAAATAAATTCAGCTCATTTCCAGCTATTTGGGAATATCGAATTCGATTGCTAAAAAAAGGTGAAAGTCAGATGGGCCCATAGTACCGAGGGTGTGATAGGACTTCCCAACCAAGCATCATTAACACCTCCACTTACGCCTTTTCTGTTCATGAGAGCAGTTTGTTTATGGGCCAGGGAAAGAGATACTCGGCTTAAATTGATTTCTGCAGTGATAATCTGGCCACGTTGGAGTGCACTGTGCCTTACTCAACCAAACACAAAGCATCACGATGAGAGAGTCATTTGAGTGTTACTCTACAGGATCCACTTTTCGTCGCATGCGACAATCGGGACGCAAAGCGCCTCTACTTTGTGCCGTGAAAGTAATGAAAGGCAAATGTTTAGACGTTGAACCCGGTCAATTTATAAGGAACCAATTTGCTTAGATCCCACGTTTTCCCTGGTCGATGTAAGCTCGAACTAATGTTTTCATCGCTTACGTTGAATTCTTTGGCAAGCTCCAGAAATGTTCGACCATAATCAACAAACCTCAATTCGTCGTCGTTCAAGACCGAATGACTACCGGACCGTTGTTCATCTTTAACCCTTTCGTTCCCAGAAACAAATTTTTTGAACTCACTTATCATTCAACACGAGACGCAGTGCAAATTTTACCACTACCTTAGCCGCCCTAGTGCCCTGCTACAGTACAATAAGCACGCACGAATTATGATGGTTTTGAAGGTTATGAGGTTATGAGAAAAAAAATTTGAAATCTGTAGTGAACTATTCAAGACACTTTTTCTTTATGAACTGACGCATTAATCATGTATTACGTGATGTTATCATTTAATCCTATGTACATATCAACGTTGATTAACGGTATTAAAACAATAACATCTGAAAAACGGGAATGAATTTTTCTAGTTGCCTGCCTGTTTCGTTGTACGGCACTGTAATAAAAATGAAACGTTTAAGAGATTAAACATTTAATTATTCATAGCCAATCAGCCAAAAATATTGATATTAGTATCCTTCCTAAAGTCCGCCTTGTTTCGATTTGTCAGTCAATTTGTCGTAATTGGAAAAGAGATCTGGAAAAAAGCATATTTGTCTGACTAATGGCTATTGTTTTTTCTCTCTAATTAATTTATACATTCGTATTTAAGGGTTACAACTGTCAGGTTACCTTAGGATCTAAAGGCTGCCTTTAGTCCTAAAAGATTAAAAATGACATACTTTGAAAATATAGAAACTAGGCCAGTTTAACGAAAAAACTGTAACAATTAATCCCTAGGAGAAAATTGTTTCTTTCGCCGATTTCACAGTCAGGTAAGAATCTCTCTGGATTAATCTTTGGTAAAAAAGTTTATAGAAATTCTTGTATGTGCTATGACACAGGAGCACCCAACATAACATTAAAACATTTAAAAAAAAGTAACATTTAAAAAAAAAGTTTTAAAACTTTTTGTCATACAATCGAAAAATACCTCAACGGCATTTTGTTTAATTTAAATTTTAATTTAAATTTCTCCTTAAAATTATTGTGTCTCAAGTGATTACATATGCAAAAGAAATAACGTAGAAAGAATTGATATAATATAGCGTTAGACACTTTTTTAATGAAAGGATTGACGATACCTTATCACAATCAACAATGGTTCCAGTCCACTTTTAACAAATATAAGTAATTATGAAATGAATAGTTTAGAAGAACATTCTAACAATAATCTTTAGTTACAAACCCAAATAGCATACCCGCATAAAAGATGCATTTAAAGCATTGGATGGAACTATAGAAAGACAAGGTTTTTGAGATGCCTGTTGACGCCAACCTAAAATTCAGTTTTGATCAGAAAGTTCAAATTAAAATACCCGATTGAGCAAACTGTGAGAAAGGGATTCCAGTTAATGCCGATCATATCTGGTGTACAGATGGCTCAGAACATACCACGATACGAACAGGAGCTGGTTTCTAGAGAAATAATCCAAGGACTTGAATTCAAAAGCCTTGGGCAGTGTGACGCTGTATATCAAGCGGAACTGTGGCCATTGTACACAGTGCTAGAAAGGTAAAAAAGCTGCGTATTACCAACGAAAGATTAGGCTTGTAATCAGACAGCCAGGCGGCAGAAAAGAAAACTACCTCCTCGGTGGGAAAGCCAGAGCCGTTTGAGACTGGGTCGAGGAATTATCAGACATAGGGGAGAATAATAAAATTACCTTAGCTTTAATCCTTTTTAAAAAGGTAGTTCCTACTCACAGTAAGTTGTTTTGCAACGATCCGGATTTCGAGCCTTTAGCTCATCATCAGGTTGAAAGACTTCTACAACCACGTCTCACGACATGAATTGCCAAAGTGAACCCGCTGATACCTCCGCCAACGCGACGTTCCAATTAGCAGCTGATTTTTTTAATGGCGCTCAATTTGAACGTGCGAAACGCGGAAATTATAACAAATAAATATTATACTAGTAAATACTTAATATTATTAAATTACTATAAAAATAATAACAACTAAAATAATTAGTTTAATTATTTGGATATTTTTTTTTTTATGTGCATATTTAAAATAGGAGGTAGATCAAAATCTGTTATATTATTAATGCATTTATCACCATGTTCAATTTTACATTTTTTAATTTCAAATTTNAGCGCCATTAAAAAAATCAGCTGCTAATTGGAACGTCGCGTTGGCGGAGGTATCAGCGGGTTCACTTTGGCAATTCATGTCGTGAGACGTGGTTGTAGAAGTCCTACAACCTGATGATGAGCTAAAAGGCTCGAAATCCGGACGTTGCAAAACAACTTACTGTGAGTAAGAACTACCTTTTTAAAAAGGATTGAACACCACACTCACTCCATCATTTATCATTTCTACCTTTGCTTTGGTACCAGGGCAATAGGGCAGAGGAGCAACGAGTAAGCCGATAAATTGCCGATGGAAAGCTCAATGAGGACACCTATCAGCCCTGAACCCTTTTACGGCATATCAAAAAACGGATCCATCAAACAATGGGTTAAAAATAAGCCCTCTAATTATTGGGAGTATATTTCATAAAAACTTTATTAAAGAACCATCACAGAAGCTAGCAGCAGAACTACTAAACCTAGGACGTGAAAGGACTAGAATTATAGTAGTGGACACTGCAGACCCTGGACGAATATGTATAGATTCAGAGCAGAAAGAAGCCTGTGAATATTGCAACAGAACATGTCATCTGTTGGTCTGAAAGCCTATGCAGTTCCTACTCCTGGGAGAAGAAGAGTCAAGGCCTGAAGGATATACCAAGGACCTGTTAACAAATCTTTGTGATCAGATAAAAAGTCTTTTTTAAAGTTAACAGAGCTCTAAACAATAATGGAGATTGCATAATTATTGGTCACGGTCCACAAGGTCCTTCTAACCTTAATCTTACTAACTACACTTAGTAAACAGTAAAATTGTGTGTGTGGTTGTGTGTGAGTGTATGTATGTGTGTTAGAATAAGAAGGATTATTTGGCTGAATTTTTAATGTACAAACTTTAAATCATTTCAGACTCCATTTATATTTGAGACTTATCGTAAGCTACTTCAATCAGATGCCCATGGTAATGGAAGCTTTTAGAGCATCTGATTTGGCCATCGCTAGCAAAAGAGTTACACTCCCTGCACTCGTTTGGATGCTGTGGTCTAGAGCGAGATTCGTCAACGATGAACTCTACAGAGGGGTGAGTACAGATTCTTTTATCGTATGAATTCATCCTAATGCCAGTGGTGTTCCAGACGGCTACTATTCAACCAACTAACATTCCCGCAAAAGACTCAAAGACCTGCCAGACGGACATCAAGAGCTTGACGGCCTGCGAGAACTGCACCCTAGCGCAAGACGCCATCACCAGGCTGGTCGAGCTAATGGAGAAGATTTGCACGAACCTGCACATCAAGGGGAGTCAAATCCTGGAAGTCAGGTAGACCGAGTCAGGTCGAGGTTTTCGCAAGAGGGCTAAATGATGGTCAGTAGCCAGTTGTTTACAGAAAGAGCATGACCAACGACTTATTTTACATCACGCAGTGGTGCGCGGTGTCGAAATGGTGCGACGCTCTCCTCAATGACATAGATCTTCTCGGCAATCTGTCCTGGCAGTCCAGCTACCAAAGCAAGAAAGCTCATTCACGTATAAAACAAATAAAGCAGGAAACTACAGACTACGAGGACCGACTCAAAGCCCTAGAAGAAGAGAAAAATAAATTGAGGACAGACATTGATAAAGGTGTTTACTGATTTTATACGTTTTGAAAATCAAAAATACAATTTTTTTACAAATCATCTATCAAAGATATGAATCTAGCTCTATCCATTTAACATTGCTACTGGCCTTTTATTCATCGTCTAAACATAAGCAAGTAAATGAAAGCATAATCACAGATTTAATTTTTTTAATGCAAAATTCATTTATACTTTAAAAAATGGGAATATGATCAATCACTAATCGATATACGTTTGAATCAAATAACTTATTTTCAACAAATTTCTGCCAAATTAAAACATTTTTAAAAACTTTCAATTAATTAAGGTTTTTAGTTGAGATAGAAAAAGTCAGTGTCACGAGCGGGATTCGAACCCACGATCTTCGGCTAGATACGCCGCCGCTCTACCATTTGAGCTATCGTGACTTCGATCCATTCGGCCATTAGCTTCCCATCTCAACCCCACCTTTTGAATTTTCCCTCCTTTTTGCCATTTTTCAAGTTAGGAAGTTAGTGTCCGTGGGTTCGAATCCCGCTTGTGCCACTGACTTTTTTATCTCAACTAAAAACCTTAATTAATTGAAAGATATTAATTGGTCAAGCGGACCACGAAAATTGTTAATTTTTAAAAAGTTTTTTAACTAAATTATTAATTCATTTCCCAAACTTTTTCCAGCCTATGAATCGAAAGCGAACTACATCAAAAAAGTGTCAGAGCTGACGCTAAAAATGAAAGGGAAGAACAGCCAAATTGATGCTCTTGAAAAGAAATGTGCAGAATTAGGTGAAGTGTTAAAAAAATGTATAAATTGATAATCCAGCAGTCAAGAAAAATTAGCTTTTACAGAAAGCATGATGCAATCTTTGAAGAAGGAGTTAATCGACTGTAAGCAATCATCAATCAAAGAGAAAGAAAGATTTATCGATGTGAACAATGAAGTGAAAATTAAAATTGAAGAAATAGAAAAAATGAAAGCAGTCTTGGACGAGTAAGTTTATTGTAAAGATATATTCAGCGAATTATAAATAAATAATTATCTTTGTTGTTGTTTGTTTTTTTATATTAGGCAAACAACAGCGCAGACGTCCAAGTCGTTTGAACTCCAGAATAAGATAGACAGCCAGGAAGGAATAATAAATAGCTTACAGCAAAAAATTGAAGCACTCCACATGGAATTGGACAATTCTGCTAAGAGAGAAGAAACTTATAAACTAGAAATACTCAAGGAGCAGAATCACGGTGCAGTTATATGGAGAAATTATGAAACCCTTAAAGATGCCATTCGAAAACAGGAAGACCTGGTAAATCAATTTTTTTTTAATCCATTACAGTTCGTGGTCCGATTGTCCAAATAACATTTTTCAATTGAATATTTATGAAAGGTATTGGTCGAGATAAAAAATTGTGTCTCGAGTGGGATTCGAACCCACGATCTTCGGCTAAATAAATTGAATAAATTGAAAAATGGCAAAAAGGAGGGAAAATTCGAGAGGTGAGGTTGAGATGGGAGGTTGGTGCCCGAGCGGATCCAAGTCACGATAGCTCAAATGGTAGAGCAGCGGCGTATCTAGCCGAAGATCGTGGGTTCGAATCCCACTCGTGACACTGACATTTTATCTCGACCAATACCTTTCATAATTTTTTGTTTAAATTAAAACTTAACTTTTTTTCTCTCTACCTATGCATTTAAAGATCAACGAAAAAGAACAAAATGAAGAAGCGCTTCTAAGAACAATTGAGCTATTGAAAACTCAGATTGCTTGTGGACCAAGAAGTGAAATCGAACGTAAGCTTAGATTGGACAGCTTAAATTTTCCATTAATATTTCTGTAAACTTCAATATTTCAGTGACCGGAGATCCAATAATGGACATGGAGAACCAGAAAAAGGAAAATGAAGAGACTATTAAAAGGCTGAGTGAACATAATATTCAGATTGAAAAAACGCTGCACAAGCTTTATTCAATATCGACACCTGAACTTTGCTAACTTTAAAAAGAAACAAAAAGTATTTTAAAAAAAAAGTAAATAGGAAAATCAGGAAAATAAAGTTGTCGTGAATTGTTTCATTGTCAATTTATTGTAATTATCTTATCAAATGTAATCGTCTATTTTGTATGGCATGTTTTTTTTTCTTTTTGTAGAGAAAAATTGCGCGTTTTTGCTAAATTCTTAATAGATGAAAATATTATTTTTAATACGATGGTTGGTATACGATTAAAACCATATCTATTTATAAAAGTACATACAAAAGTAAAATGATTACTTTTCCTGGTGCACGGAGAACTAAAAACACTGCTCATACGTGACACAAGATTGTTATGCAAAAGACGAGCATATTTTCAACTGTAGAAGGCTTGACGTGTACACAGGATGTCCTGTTACTCGTGTTACAAACTTTGCCAATAGATTCTACATTCAAAATGGGATCAAAAAATACTAATTCACTATGGTCTGAATCTCAACAGTTTCGGAGTTATTCCCCTTTTTCTGATTTTTTAAGATTTCACGACAGCGCTTCAAATAAACAATCATAACTTCAAAACTCAAAGGATTTGGACAAATCCGTTGATGCCGTTGAAACTAAGTTAAATTTCCAATAAAATATGATCAATACTAAACTTGTAAACGTTGGTGAAATAGGCGTTTTAGTAGCCAGAACTTTGAAAAATAATTATTTTTTTAGAAGTGGAAAAACTTACTATGGTGATTCTAACCTACTATTTCCAAACTTAAGACAAGCAAATTTCAGAAATCGTACTCGATTTAATATCCTTTTTAGTGGTGTAATTGTTTTTAATTTCTTTTTTTCAAAATGAAGAATTTGATGAAGGAAAGGAAAAACCGTGATTGACGGATTAGTAAGGTGAAAAAAAAATTATCCTTTAAAGTTGCAGACGTATTAGTAAATAAGTAAACATTCGCACTATTGTTAATTCAAAATTTCCTTAAGTATTTTTTATTTGTTATTGTTATTAACCTTTCCACCTTAACAATCCGTCAATCACGATTTTTTCCTTTCCTTCATCAAATTCTTCATTTTGAAAAAAAAAGAAATTAAATTAAAAAAGCAATTACACCACTAAAAATGATATTAAATGGAGTACGTTGTCTGAAATTTGCTAGTCTCTAGGTTTGGAAATAGTAGTTTAGAATCACTATAGTAAGTTTTTCCACTTTGAAAAAAAAAATATATATTTTCAAAGTTCTGGTACTAAAACGCTTATTTCACCAACGTTTACAAGTTTAGTATTGTTTACATCTTATTTGAAATTTCACGTATTTTCAATTGTATCAACGGATTTGTCTATACTCTTTTAGTTTTAGAGTTCCCATTGTTTATTTGAAACAATTTCGTGAAATCAGAAAAAATGGGAATAACTCCGTAACTGTTGAGATTCGGACTGTAGTTGATTAGGACTTTTGGGTTCCATTTTGAATGTAGAATCTACTGGCAAAATTTGTAGCACGAATAGCCGAACTCCCTGTATAGACAATATTTTGGTACATCGTTGGATCTATGCATATTCTTGAGGAACAGATCCGCTGTTCTAGTACCTCCGGGTTATAGGAAATTTGAAATATGTTTAGTGTTTGTTCGTATTTTGCCTAATTTGTAATTTGATCGTTACCGATCATTTTGGCCTGTCTGTCCTCGCTAGGTTGTCCTCTCTGACAGAACGCAGATTGTACAATAATGGAAGAAGTCTGTCAGCTCATCGAGGCGCAAATCGTACAGAGGAATCTCACAATAAAATAATATTGTTTATTTATATTTATGCTGAATTAAACAAAAAATTAACACCTGGTAAAACAACCTCACCCTCAACATTCTCAGAAACAAGAGTGCGTACTATGATCTAAAAACTCTACAGTTCTTCAGATTCTTCTTCAGGAACCATCCACTTCCCCACCCCATGGAAATTCTCATCGAACAACAAACCTCGCAAACAAACTGACAATGTTTTTTCGTACTGTCCTATAAGTCTCCTATCTATCATCATAAAGTACTTGGGAAACCATTTTTTGGGGTATGTTATTTAATCTCTTCGAAGGATAGTTCTTACTCACAGTTTGTTTTTCAACTATCCGGGTTTCAAGCTTAAAGCTCATCATCAGTTTGAAAGAGTTACAAGCACGTCTCTTGATATGAATTACTGTGGTGAACCCCTGTTCCAATGAGAAGCTGGTTTTTATTGCCGCTCAATTTTGTAAGTGCGAAAAACTTGAATTACAACACAACTAAATATTACCCTAATAAACACTGTAAGAAAATAATTTTAAATTAGTGATTAATTTGTATATATTTTACTAATTAATTAATAAAATTAAATTAAATCTGAATTTATAGTAGATTAATAAATTAATAATAAAAATTAAATCAATTAATTTGGTTAATTTGTACGTCAAATATTATTTAGGCACATATTTAAAACAAACGGTAAATCAAAATCTATTATTTTATTTATGTGTTTAATTTTACATTTTTTTAATTTCAAATTACTCAAACCAATCTAGTTCCCTCCTTTGTTGAAACTGTGTATTTAAATTCACTAGTTTTCGTAGTCTTCTTGACCAATTAATATCTTTCAATTAATTAAGGTTTTTAGTTGAGATAAAAAAGTCAGTGACACGAGCGGGATTCGAACCCACGACCTTCGGCTAGATACGCCGAAGATTACTGGATACTATTATTTTACGTTTCTTATTATTAAAACCATGTGACTCTACAACCCTGGCTAACTCACCTACTAGGCAGGAAACTTAATTGGTTGAAATGAAAAAAGCTAGTACCACGAGCTTCGGGCGATTCGAACCCACGACCTTCGGCTAGATACGCCGCTACTCTACCACTTGAGCTATCGTGACTTCGATCCACTCGGTCACTAACTTCCTAACTTGAAAAATGGCAAAAAGGAGGGAAAATTCAAAAGGTGAGGTTGAGATGGGAAGTAGTGTCCGAGAGGATCGAGGTCACGATAGCTCAAGTGGTAGACCAGCGGCGTATCTAGCCGAAGATCGTGGGTTCGAATCCCGCTCGTGTCACTGACTTTTTATCTCAACTAAAAACCTAATTAATTGAAAGATATTAATTGGTCAAGTGGACCACGAAAACTAGTGAATTTAATAAAAATAAAATTAAAATCTAAATTTACAATACATTAATAAATTAATAATAAAAATTAAATCAATTAATTTGATTAATTTGTACGTCAAAGATTATTTAGGTACATATGTTTATGCATTTATCTCCGTGTTTAATTTTACATTTTTTTAATTTCAAATTTCTCAATCCAATCTAGTTCTCTCCCTTTGTTGAAACGGTGTATTTAAATTTAAATTGAAATTGTGTTTTGTTTCATTTAGTTCTTAATTTCAGAAAATTTGTTGCAAGTGTTCTTTAAATCTCGTTATAATTTCAATGCAGTTTTGTCCTATATAGTTAATTTCGCAATCATTACAATTAATTTGGTAAACCCCGCTTTTTGACAAGTTGTCAACCTCGTCTTTAGGTTTTGAGAGAATGTTTCTAAGTAAACACTTACCTCAAAAAGCTACTACTCTAAAACTTCGTTTTTCACCAATGTATGTCAAGCAACGAAAAGTTGATGGCTCATTTTTGGTGGGGTGGCTGAGTCCCATTATTGCTTCTTTTAAAGTTAACTTTTTTTATTCTTTTTACTAGCAACCTATCAATAAATATTTCTTGATATACAATGTTTTTAGCCTAGGTTTTGTTTGTAATTCCTTTTTCCAATTATCAGGTGTTAGTGGCGGTCTATGAACCAAATGAAACTAGCAGCTTTTTAGGTCCATGGGTGAGAAGTCCTATCATCTACTGGTATCGTGTCTGTCGTTGTGGGTTTTCTATATACGTCTATTACAATAAGGTTGTTTATATTTGGATGGCTTTAAGGCTAAAAAGTTAAACAACCATATTTATTTATTTATTCTTAGTTTATTTATTTATTTTATTTTTTTACGACGGCATTTCAACTACAAGTTTATACGAACCCTCGGGGTGCCGATATTTTTGAGAAAAAAAAGCCCATTTGTATGTCGGGTTCGAGGTTCGCGTGATCCAGCGGCCCTGCATTCGAACCCGACATTCTTTCAAATGAGCTTTTTTTTTCAAACACACCGGCACCCCGAAGGTTCATGTAACCTCGTAGTTGAGATACCTTCGTAAAAAAAATAAGTTTTCGCAACATAATTGATATTACTCTCAACAATACAAAATACACTATATTCTTTCTTTTGGTAAAATTAATTAAGTAAATATTACGCCAGCAATTAAAAAACTTGATAATAATAAAATAAAAAAGATTAAAAAAATCTTGGTTTCTGTTAACAAAAATTATTAACCTTTCCACCCTGCCAATCCGTCAATCACGGTTTTTTCCTTTCCATCGTCAAATTCTTCATTTTGAAAAAATAAATTTAAAACAGCTATTTATTTAGAAATCGTGAGATGCGGTCTGGTGTGATGGAGGTTTCAGAAAAACATTTTCTTTATCGTGCCAACGTTTCGATCTTTATTGAGATCATCTNCCCTGAAGATGATCTCAATAAAGATCGAAACGTTGGCACGATAAAGAAAATGTTTTTCTGAAACCTACATCACACCAGAACGCATCTCACGATTTCTTAATAAATATCGATTAACGGTCACTAATCACCACACATTAAAAAAAGCAATTACACCACTAAAAAGGACATTAAATGGCGTACGTTTTCTGAAATTTCATAGTTGAGATACCTTCGTAAAAAAAAAAAATTTCACAACATAATTGATATTACTCTCAACAATCTTGGTTTCTGTTAACAAAAAGTAATAATTTATCCTGCCAGTTAAATATCGGAAGAAAAGCGAAGATAGAACAGTTGCCACAATGAGTTGAAGTCTTAAGTTCAGTCGCAGCTCAAGAAGGATTTTTTATCCAAAAAAAAGCTGTTGGATCCACAGGTTTCCACGTCGAGTCCCTGGGGGATCTGCAAGACCATACATGGACTCCGAATCTATACTTGGAATAACAAAAACAAATACAGAATTCTCCATCGCGGAA